GGGGGTAATAAAGGCACGAAGTGACTGGCTTACACATTTTCAAGAGGGAGTTTAGTTTAAGAGTGTGTGGGTCACAGAGTGGACGGAGAAGGGCTGCTTGGACATTGGATACTCAAATGGGGAGGGGAGGAATACAAAGGCAAGAAGTGACTGGCTTACAAGCTTTCAAGAGGGAACCTGGAGCTAGGGAGCATGGTGGACGGCAGAACCTCCAGTAGGTACTATTCAATCTATCTGGGCGGAGCGGATGAAAGGAGATACAGATGGGTAACTCGTGATACTGTAGTGAATAATACTTATCAGGACGGACTATGAGGGTTGGAAATGCAAAGGTAGAAGTTTTGTAACAAGGAAGGGAGTGATTAATTCTCCAGGATAGGAGCAGAGGCCTCTGGGACCATCAACAGAGAAGAGCCGAGAGTGGGACCCTACCCAGAGAAACAGAGATGCCTGAGATAGAGACAGAGATAATGACGTGGAGTGATGACGCGACTGGGGACTTTGGACCCAGAGAGGGAACGGGACTGTGGGCCGAAAACTGGGGGGAGGAGGGGAAAGTGTAGGGGGCGGGTTTCTGGGATATACCCTTTGGGTGGTTGATGATGCATGGAAGGGATTGGAACCATGGCAATGAGATGATATACGATAGAATGAATGTAAAACTAAAGTTCTCCCATGTAAACTATCATATAATTCACAATAAAACATTAAAAAAAAAAAAACAATGTGGGGGGGAAGACAGAGTCCCCACTGAATATTGGAGAGTGTGTGTGGGGGGGGGAAGACAGAGTCACCACTGAATAGTTTTCATCTTTTCTAGATGGGTCTGGTGAAAAGAGATAGGGACAAGATTCTTATGATTCAATAATGAGTAACTGCTATCATGACTGTTACTGTCACAACTGTAAAGATAGAAGTTTTTTTAACAAAAACAGGGGAGTAGTTAATCTTACAGTCCAGAAACAGAGGAACCTAGGACCATCAAGGGAGAAGAGCACAAGTAGAATGTGGGACCTTAACCAGAGATGCAGTGACACCAGAGATGAGGAGGATATGGAGAGAGGGAGCAGCTGAGGACTCTAGACTCATAGAAAGAGAGGGACTGAGCCAGGAGGCAGGCTTGCAGAATGTGACCTTTGGTTGTTTACACTATTATATATTCCTGAGTGTGTATGTGTATATCTCCCCACCTCCCACCCCCCTAAAAAGAAAAAGAAAACGAAAAACAGAGGGAATGGAAGCAAATACTGTTGATGATGCACGGAGGAGACTAATCATTGCAATGAAACAATGGTGTAAAGAAAGCTGATGTTCTCCCATGTAAACTATCACTCAGTTCACAATATAAAAGAAAAAAGAAATCAAATGACATATTGCATTAGGCAAATCTGCTGCACAAGAACACTTTAAAGTATTCAAAAGCAAAGGTGTCAGTTTGAGAACTAAAGTGAGCCTGACACAGTATTTTCAATAACCTCATATGCATGTCAAAATTGGACATTATAAGGAACACTGTAGAAGAATTGATGCAGTGAGTTATGGTGGTGAAGAATATTCAAAGTACCATGGACTGCCAGAAAACAAATCTGTATTGGAAAGAGTATAGCCAGAAGGCAACCAGAGCTCCTTAGAAGCCAGGATGGTGAGACTTTCTCTTCTCATAGTTCAGACATGTTATCAGGAGGCACCAGTCCTTGAAAGATATCATGCTTAGTAAAGTGGAGAGTCAGAGAAAAAGAGGAAGACCCCCAAGGTGATGTACTGACACAGTGGCAGCAGCAAATGGCTCATGTGTAAGAACAATTAATTGAGGATGGTGCAGGACTGGGCTGTGTTTCACTCTGTTCTGCACAGGGTCACTATGAGTCGGAACCAACTGGATGGCACCTAACAGCAACAAAAATTCAGACCCCAGAAACAGTCTAGGAAGATGTGGGTTCCAACTACTAGCGTCATGCCCTGGAGCCAATGACAGCCTCCTTTGTAAGATAGGACAGAAGGGCCCGTCCCTGTCAAGTTTGCCAGGAATAAATGAGATAATTCATCTGAAGCAGAGTGCCTGCACATACTAAATGCTCGATTAAGGAAGCTATTATTATTGTTGTTGTTATTGTTTCCTTTGCCAGAGAAACTATGCCTGCAAGCCCTCTCTTAAGATGATCCCATCACTGAAATGACCCCTTGTCCCAGACACCATCACCCACCCCTCAACAGAGTCAGAAATAGAAACCACAGCCTCCGGACGCCGGTGGCCTCCCTCCCTCCCCCGCGGCGGGCCGGCAGCAATCGATGCAGCCTCAGCAGTGGGGGAGCGGGGGACTGAGGGAGGCCGGGAAGGAGGGGGCGGTGTGGCCTCCCGCAGCAGCGCGGCTCAGCAGGCCAGGGCAGAGATGAGCCCGGGCGCGGCCAGCGGCTCCCAGACTCCCACGGCACCTTCAGGAGACACTCCAGGCGCCCAGGAGGGGGCTGCGACAAGTAAGGAGAGCCCCCTGGGGAGGGACATGGTCTAGGGAAGGGGCAAAGGGGAGGCTGACTGGGATTTGGTTGACTGTCCCCTGTCTGGTGCCAAGGAGAGGGGTATGTGGAAGGATGGCATGTTTAAGAGAGACTGGGGTTAGACCTTTGCTCATCTGTAAAATGGGTTAAAAAGCCTCCCTGCAGGCTGGTGTGCATGGAGCTCAGCGCTGGGTCCTGAGCGTTGCTGGACTCAAAAGAAGTTCTTAGAGAAAGACTGGAGTCAAAATGCCTGATTTTCCATCTCACATGTGCCACTCCGGCTGTTGTTGTTAAGTGCTGTTAAGTCGGTTCCGACCCATAGGGACCTTGTATAGGGTTTCCGAGGAGCAGCTGGTAAGCTTGAACCGCCGACCTTCCCGCGGAGCAGCTGGTGAGACCGAACTGCCAACCTTACAGTTCAAATGGCTTTGCAGTCTGGCGCATTAACCCACAATGCCACATCAGGACTCCACTGACTAGCTGGGTGATTTTGAACAAGTCACTTGATCTTTTTAACTGACCTGCAGATTCTCCCCAAGAAATGTTTGTTAGACTAATTACCCCACTGCATAAAGCAGGATAGTGAGTTCCAGAAAGAGGAAAGAATTCACCCAAGGTCATGCAGTTAATGGGTGATGAGCCTGGTTTATAAACCTAATTGGCTGACTCCAAGTCCAGGTGCAGGGGGCAGGAGTGGAACTTACATGCATTTATTATGCACAGTTTTTGGTGCCAGGAGCTGTGCTGCCAATAAGCATCTTGCATCCTTTGATCCTGGTAACTCATCACATTATAAAGTACTGTGTCCCCCAGTTTACTGAGAGGGGAACGTTGTTGTTGTTATGTGTCGTGGAGTTGGTTCCGACTCATAGTGACCCTGTACAGGATTTCCAAGGTTGTAAATCTTTACGGGAGCAGAAAGCCTCATCTTTCTTCCATGGAACTGCTGGAAGTTTTAAACTGCTGACCTTAAGGTTCTCAGCCCAATTTGTAACCGCTACGCTACCAGAGCTCCTTGAGAGGGGACTAGACCTGCTTAAAATCACCTGGCTTGCAGAAAAGTGGCAGACTCAGAATCTGTCCAGAGGGGACTTTTACTGAGGCATTACTGTGTTGCAGAGGCTTTGTACTCACACTCCCAAAGGCCTTCACCAGAAGTACTATTATTTCCATTCTATAGATTAGAAAGCTGATGCCAGAGTGGGAAGGAGACTGGCCTGAGGCCACACAAGTGACAGAGCCAATAAACAGGACCCTGACTCACCTGACGCCAAGCTCAGGGTAAGATACCACCACTCCCTGCCAGGCACTGGACTAAGCGCTTGGGGCCACTCAGGCCTCACATCCAGCCGAGGAAACAGGGATACTGAACCCATGGGGCATATGAGATCCTGGAGGGTCAGGGAGTGAATGCTAGCTGAAGCTGAGCATGTGTCATCATCTACCTTAGTTGTCCAGCCATCCTAGTGGTAGGTGCTACTGTCTCCATTGTGCAAATAAAGAGACCTTGAGAATAGGAAAGGTTCCTCAAGGCCCCAAGGTGCAATAAAAATCCACTGCTATCAAGTCAAGTCCAACTCACAGTAAGTAACCTACAGGACTGAGTAGAACTGCCCATAGCTTTTGCAAGGCTGTCATCTTTACAACCTGCTAACTGACTCGACGGCAACCACAACCACCACAAGCTCCTGATGTGGCCCTGTAGGATCAGCACAAGACTGCTAACCACAAGGGCAGCAGTTCAAACCCACCAGCCACTCCTTACAGAGTTGCTATGAGTCGGAGCCAACTCGAGGTACTGACACAACAAAAATCTTTTCAGAAGCAGACTGCCACATCTTTCTACTGAGGAACAGTGGGTTCAAACCGGCAACGTCTTGGTTAGCAGCCAAGCGCTTAAGCACCACACCATGAGGGATCCTTTTAAGGTGCAATAAAGGACTCCAGAAGACAGCAAGACAGGTTGATAATTTCAGAAATACCTTCTGTGAGGTAGGGCTGATGCAGACATTTCCAGCCCAAATCCAAGGCCGATAAGTAAATTCTGAATCACAGTGACCCGAGACCCTATTAGAGAGAGTACAACTGCCCCATAGGGTTTTCAAGGATATAAATCTTTATAGGAGCAGACTGCCGCACCTTTCTTTTGCAGAGCAGTTGGTGGGCCTTTGGGTTAGCAGCCAAAACGCTTAATCACTCTCCACCAGGGATCCTCATAAAGATATTATGTCATTGCATCTTTGTAACCACACTTGAGGTGGATATTTTTACCTTCATTTGACAGAGGCTCCCAGAGGTGGTGTGGCTTGTCCAAGGACACACAACAGAACTAGAGTTCAAGGTTGCGTCTGACTGAATATAGAAGCTTTACACGGTCTCAGTCAGTGACTCTCAAACTGGAGCATGCATCAGAACTACCCTCTAGGCTGCTGGACCCCACTGTCCATGGTCTCATTAAGTCTAGGAAAGGCTGCCAACTTACATCTCTACCAAACTCCCAGGTGATGCTGATGTTGCTGGTCCAGGGAATACATTCTGAGAACCACAGGATTACATCGATCTTCCCAACAGTTGGTGGTAAGCATTACTGATTCCCATTTTGCAGAGGAGTAAACTGAGGGTGTGAGTGTTAGCATACCCAAGATCTCACAACAGGCCTCTGGTTTATGTAACTTCAAGTTTATCTGAAAAAGGGAGAAATGTATGAGTATCCACTAGGTGCCAGGTACTCTGGTAATGCCATGGTTAAATCCAAAGGTTCAAATCCACCAGCCACTCCCCAGGACAAAGATGTGGCAGTCGCTAAGAGTGGGAATCGACTTGATGGCACAGTGCAGATCATTCTGCCATTCACTTATTTACATAATCCTTCAAGAAAGAGCTCAGCATCTTTTGTAACAGGAGAAAAATAAAATGAGGATGGGGAGGATAAAAACGCAGGCCTGACACTGGGTCTAGACTGCATGTGTGTACCAAGTGCATAAACAGAACCTTCAACACCGCTGACTAGTAGATGATGTTGTTACTGGGTACCTATTTTGACTCACAGCGACTCCATATGACTGAGTTGTTGTTGTTGTTGTTGTTAAGTGCCGTTGAGTCGGTTCCGACCCATAGCGACTGAGTAGAACTGTCCTTTTGGGTTTTCTAGGCTTTATGGAAAGATTGCCTTATGTTTCTCTTGAGAAGTACCTGGGTGGGTTGAACTGCGAACCTTTCAATTAGCAGCTGAGCACTTAACCGTTATGCCACCAGGGCTAGTGGATGGGGCCCTGGATTTTAACCTTAACCTCCTTGAGGAGGTTGAAATCCTCCTCAGCTCACCTTTCTGGCATCCACAGACTGCCGCTCTGCAGTCATGGTAAGCGAGTCCCCCGGCCCGGGCGCCGGAGTCCCCTGGCGGCGAAGGGACGAGGCGCTGCGCGTAAACGTCGGAGGAGTGCGTCGGCTGCTCAGCGCATGCGCTGTGGCACGCTTCCCGGGCACGCGGCTGGGCCGCCTGCAGGCCGCGATGTCAGAGGAGCAAGCTCGGTGCCTATGCGACGACTACGACGCAGCAGCGCGCGAGTTCTACTTTGACCGGCACCCGGGTTTCTTCCTGGGTCTGCTGCACTTCTACCGCACCGGCCGCCTGCATGTGCTCGATGAGCTATGCGTCTTTGCCTTCAGCCAAGAGGCCGACTACTGGGGCCTGAACGAGGGCGCGCTGGCCGCGTGCTGCCGTGCGCGCTACTTAGAGCGGCGCGTGACACGGCCGCGCGCCTGGGACGAAGACAGCGACACCCCAAGCAGTGTGGACCCGTGCCCAGATGAGATCTCCGACGTGCAGCGCGAGCTGGCAAGCTATGGCGCCGCGCGCTGCGGACGCCTGCGCCGCCGCCTCTGGCTCACAATGGAGAACCCTGGCTACTCGCTGCCCAGCAAGCTCTTCAGCTGCGTCTCCATCGGCGTGGTGCTCGCCTCCATCGCCGCCATGTGCATCCACAGCCTACCCGAGTATCAGGCTCGCGAGGCGGCGGCTGCCGTAGCTGCAGTGGCCGCTGGCGGCAGCATAAATGAGGCACACGACGACCCGGTGCTGCGGCGCCTAGAGTACTTCTGCATCGCCTGGTTTAGCTTCGAGGTGTCGTCGCGCCTCCTGCTGGCGCCCAGCACGCGCAACTTTTTCTGCCATCCGCTCAACCTCATCGACATCGTGTCCGTGCTGCCCTTTTATCTCACGCTGCTGGCTGGAGTGGCGCTCGGTGATCGGGGTGGCGCGAGTGGTGAGGATCTCGGAGACCTGGGCAAGGTGGTGCAGGTGTTTCGCCTCATGCGCATCTTCCGTGTGCTCAAGCTGGCGCGTCACTCCACCGGCCTCCGATCGCTGGGCGCCACGCTCAAGGTAGGTGGGGTTGGAGGAGCCCGCAGGTGAATGGCGTGCTTTCCTACGAGCCTTCCCCGTCCAGCCACTGCGCGGTATACTGAGACGTTCTCGTTTGTGTCAGGCCTTGGCTAGATTCTAGCTGCCCGTTTCACTCCTAATCGGACCATCCCAATAGCTATGTAAGGAGGGTCTTGCTCTTCTGTCCATTTCCCAGGAGAGAAAACAGGTTTTGCTTGTCACTCTTGATATTTATGTCAAACATAAAATAATACGTAGCACAAAATATATTTAGCATAATACTGACTTCTTTCCTTGAGCCTCTTTGGGGGGCATTATCAGGGACACATAGTCACAGGTCACCCTTAATAAGCTAAGTCTAGCAATAATCCCGGAACTAGCCGTTACTGAGCACTATTTCTGTGCCAATTTCAAATCCATTATAGATCCAGTCCTGAGGACAAATCCCTCAGGAAGATGCGGTTATTTAACACCTTACTGTCGCCAGTGAACCGAGGTTCAGAGGCTGGGATTTTTAAAGCGTTCTTGCAAGGTAGTGCGTGCTCCTTGTGCCCGGCGCTGCGCTAGAGTGAAGCACCACCCGGGGGAGCTCACGTCTGTTGGGGTGAGGGGAGCCTGGTTTGAGAAGGGCAGTGGATGGAACCAACAGCTGGTGCCGCGGCCTGAAGGTGAGAGAGGCCAGGCAGAGGGAGGATGTGGGGTGGGGGAACGCTGGACAGGAGACCGGAGAGGTAAGTGGGAAGTAGTACTGAAGGTCCATGACTCTGCCCACAGTGTGGCCGTGTGAGGGGTTTAAGCAGCGGCAGATCTTACGTGCACTGTTTTGCAGGGGTTGAAACCAAGGCTCTGAGAGGTGGTAGGATTTATCCAAGGTCCCCCAGCAGTAAGTGGCCGAACTCAAGGAAAACCCAGCTGTACTTGACTCTAGTACCCCATACTTTCTCTTAAAGCTTCTTTCAACTCTAAGAATCTCTGGAAAGTGCTGGAAGATTCCTTTTGAACGCCCTCACGCCAGGACTGCCAGGATCCTGGGCACAGAACCCAGAGCAGGAACTTGCATTAGCCAACCCTGAACTCTCCTCTATTCCTACCATGCAGAGAGCCAGATGGATCTACCATATAGGCTGGGAGAGGGAAGAGTACTGACCATGCTCTAGATGCACACCTGGCCAGCAGCAGCTTTGTTCAAAGCGTGCTAAAAATGCAGGTGCTCAGACCCTATCCCGGCTACTGTATTGGGCTCTGCCTTGCAAACAAGGTATCCACGTGGTTACTTGAGAGAACAGGCAGAGGGACAATGGTGGACAACATAAAAGTCTACACTAGACCCAGGCTTCTCAATCAGCACAATTGACATTTGGGACTAGAAAATTCTTTCTTGTGAGGGCAACCCTGTACATTGTAGGATGTTCAATAGCCTGATTTCTACCCCTGGATGCCAGGAGGATACTGATTCAAGTTGTCACCATCAAAGTTATCTCTCAACAGTACCAAATGCCTCCTGAGGGGAAAATAACCCAACAGTGGAGAACTGCTGTGCTGACCCTTGACCTCAGGGACAGACAGCCCCCACTCATAGACAAGTACATCCTCCACATACCCTTCTCTAGCTTCCCTGAGGGAAGTACTTGTCAGAAATATGATAGACCATTCAAAAGTATACAAAGCCAACTCTTTGCATTGTGTAATATGTTGTTATTGTTGGGTGCCATCAATATGACTCTGACTCATAGTGGTCCTATGCATGACAGAACAGAGCACTGCCTGTTGTTATGTTTGAGCCCATTGTTGCAGCCACTGTGCCAACCCCACCCCCTACACACACACACACACACACACACACACACACACCTGTCATTTTATCATACTATGGTGGCCTACATGTTGCTGTGATTCTGGAAGCTATCCCATTAATGTTTTCAATAGCAGCAAGGTCACCCATGGTGGACCGGTTTCAGTGGAGCTTCCAGACTAAGACAGACTAGGAAGAAGGAATAAGTGATCCACTACTGACGATTTAGCCCTTAAAAACCATATGAATAGCAGCAAAACATGGTGTAGACTGTGGTTTATTTGGTTCTGCGACAGTGTAAGAGTCGCAAGCTTTTCATTCATTAACTGCTGCCAACAGTGCCTCCTGTGTTTAGAAAACCCACCTCTAGCCCTGCAGGCACTTTGTTGTTGTTAAATGCTATCGAGTTGGTTCTGACACATAGTGACCCTGTATAGGATTTCCGAAGAGTGACTAGTGAGTTTGAACTAATAACCTTGCGGTCAAGTGCTTATCCTACAATGCCACACTAGGACTCCTGGCCTCTGGGTGTGGCGCCGTAGAATAAGCACTCGAGGTTGGTTTGAACCCCAAGGTCGGGGATTCAAATTCACCAGGCGCTCCTCAAAAACCCTATACAGGAACCAACTCCACCACACTTAACAACTGTTACAGTTTGAAGATCTTAGTTTGGATCAGGAGAGCTGGGTCTTGGTACCAGCCCTACCTTGCTGGGTGGCTTTGGGAGTGTTCCTTCTCTTCTCTGAACCTCGATTTCCCCAAGTGTCCACTACAAGTTCTGTCAGCCCACCTGACTCTGATGAGTTCCTGTACTTTCTTTCAGCACAGCTACCGCGAGGTGGGCATCTTACTGCTGTACCTGGCCGTGGGAGTGTCTGTGTTCTCTGGTGTGGCCTACACAGCTGAGAAGGAGGAGGATGTGGGCTTCAACACCATCCCAGCCTGCTGGTGGTGGGGTACCGTGAGCATGACCACCGTGGGCTATGGAGATGTGGTGCCAGTGACAGTGGCTGGCAAACTAGCAGCCTCAGGTTGCATCCTGGGGGGCATACTAGTGGTGGCACTCCCAATCACCATCATATTCAATAAGTTCTCCCACTTCTACCGACGCCAGAAGGCCCTGGAGGCAGCCGTGCGCAACAGTGGCCACCGGGAATTTGAAGACTTACTGAGCAGCATTGACGGAGTATCAGAGGCATCCCTAGAGACATCCCGGGAAACTTCTTAGGAGGGAAGGTCTGCAGACCTGGAGACCCAGGTCCCAATGAGTCTTCAAACTCTCAGGTATTCCGAATCCAGGGCTCCATGTCCCCTTTCCTCCGCCCTGGAGAGTCAGCTAAACTACTGCAGAGATTCCTCCCTAGTTCTTTTCTGAGTGCATGACCTGCTCTGCACCCCTCACCCTGGCCTGAGGCTAGGTCCTTTCCTTCAGAGGTCAGGGGAGGAAGTGTTACCTGCCATTCTGAGTCTGGAGAACAAGCCGGGGACCTTTATAAAAGACACTTCCAAGCGAAGTAGCCATGAGCCAGATCAAGGAAGCCAAGAAGATAAACTTTCTCAGTACCTTCTATTAGCCATATCACATTTGACCCCAGGTTGGAGAATGAGAATTATCCCCATTTCACAGATAAGGAAACTGAGGCTCAAACTTGAGCCACACAGATGTCACACAACTAGAAGCGGTGGAGCCAGCTTTAGAATTATTTATCTGCCACCATCAAGTGTTGCTTCTGCTCTCACAAAATTTGTATATGGTTTTAGGGGTTCCTGGATCCCTGACATGGGTCTATAGGGTAGAACCCACTGTTAGAGAACAGGAAGGTACCAGACAGGAGATTTGGATGCAGGAACCCTGGACCTCAGCTGTGATACTTTTCCGCGAGCTTCCACTACTGACAGGACCCACTTCTAAGATGCAGCCAGGAGGAAAGAGCAGAGAACTGCCTCCACAGCTGACTGACGTGCATGATTTACTACACAGTAGTAGCCTGCAGTTTCCTCCCTGGGCTGCCTTGAAATCAAGGCAATCTGGAAGGGCTCTTGTAGAGGGACAGAAAACCTGCTGTCTCCAACAGTGCCTGCCCCGTCTCCAGAGTCAGACCACCTGTCTGTCATACTGAGACCCAAAGGGAGATGAAAACCAACTGGAGACCCCAACTGAAAGCTAGCTCTTAAATGTTGGTGGCAAGTGGCTGCTAAGCGTGGACATCCACCCCTTCTGTCCTCTCCCACCCATCTCCAGCCCTACACTGAGTTTCCATCTAGGTAAATGCTCTGGACTCCCATCCCTTTAGGGCAGCTCTGGTCAACCCCCTTGTCCTTATTGGGAGAAATCACCTGTGGAATTCCTGTTTCTCTTGATGAAAAAATGAGCAGAGGGACAGTTCTCATAGTACCTTTCACGTGCTGGCATTGCCTGACCAATCCCTGCCTCCCTTCCCCTCAGTGAACTTCAGGATGGAGGACATCATGTGGTTAAACCTTGGGCTTGGTGCACAGTAGGTGCTTAGGCAATGCTGAGTGGCTCAGCAGTGCATCCAGTCTGCCCTATCGGGGCCCTGAGAACAAAGTGGGGACTGCCCTCCAAGGGGGCAAGCAGGCGGAAAAGGAGGTCCCTACAGTTCTGCTGCCCTGCTCCCACCTTGCTTTCAGAGACTTTTCATAGTGATTTCCTTTTCATTCACTCATCAAACAATTTTATTGGAAGGGTCAGAAACTGGGATGTCACATGTGGCCTGAAGATATGTTTTGTTAATTGAACAGTTGGTTTTTTTTTTATATATGTCTGGATGGGGCCTGCACTCTCCAGTTCCCCACAGTGTCACCCACCCCCTCTTCCCCACCATACACACTCAACGCTACATACTACACCCACCACTAAGGAGATTTCATCTACCCCATGGCATCCTTTGAGGGAACTAGGTTTCAGAGAGACAATGGTGGACGAACTATGTAGTCCGTGGGTGGGGGAAATGGTAAACACATTCAGCTGCTAATAAAAAGATGGGAGGTTCTAGTTGACTTAGAGAATCCTGAGAAAAACGACCTGGCAAACTGCTTCTGAAAGATGAGCCACTGGAAACCCTATGGAGCACTGTTCTGCTCGGGAGTTGCCACGAAGCAGAACCAACTGGACAGCAATAATTTTTTTTTGCCCGTGACGTTTGCAGATTAGTGAGGGAGATACACTTTAATCAAATAATCACAAAAGTATGTAACGAGCCCTCATAAGTATAGTCCTGATGTGGTGCTGTGGGTTAATGTGCTCGATTGCAGTCGGTTTGAACCGCAAGGCCGGTGGTTCAAGTTCACCAGCCGCTCCTCAGAAACCACATACAGGATTGCTATGGGTCGGAATCAACTCAACGACACTTAACAAGTAAAAGGAACTGTAGACATACATAAGCTAGCAGAGACCATTGCCTGAGATAGTAAAAAGAAGGCTTCCCTGAGGATGTGAAGATCTGGCCCGCCATCCCAGCAGTATAGGATCAGCACTGGACTGGGCACCACAAAGTTGGCCCCACTATGAGTCGGAATTGACTGGCTAGCACTTAACAACAATTAGTGAAAGGGAGTCATGGTATAATGCTGCAGAATAAGCACTGGACTGTTAACCCCACGGTTGGTGATTCAGACCTGCCAGCCACTCAGAAACCCATACAGGGTCACTTTGAGTCCAAACTGACTTGACCACATTTAACAACAGTTAAGTTACAGGGCCCTGGTGTAGTGCTGTAGGGTTAGCACTGGACTACTAACTGCAAAGTTTGCTGTTCAAACCACCAGCTGCTCTCAGAAACCCTGTGAGTCAGAACTGATTCAACAGCACTTAACAAAACAACAAAATTCGTTCAGGAGAGTTTTAGGGAAGAGTAATCTGAGCTGGAGGTCCTATGTGTGTGACAGTTCTTCTGTCAGGCACAGAGCCTAGTACTAGTGGGGTCTCTACATTGAAACTGACTGGAGCTAAGACAAAGGACCTCTAAAGAAGTTATCACACACATGCCAGCCCTCAAACATACCGCTTAACATCTGGGCCCAGCTGTTCCCAGGTTGTGGTTCAGAGACTGAATGTATCACTCTCAGAGTCTTGCTGGACACACCAAGGAACCAGATAGTTTCCAGCATGCTCAGGGGAGAACTGGCCTGCATCCATCAGGAGATGTCTGGGCCTGATGGGACAGCACCAAAGCATTGCTATCACATTGTATCAATTCAAACCATATGCAAATAAAGAGGCAGGGACCTGTTTTCTGCTTGTCTGGAGCTGACTGATTGGGGAGGGTGGGCGATTCACTGAGTGCCTTGGAAATCCCCATTCTCTGGTTCCAGTCCCAGACTTGGCACAGGCTTCATCTGTACCAACCAAAACAGGTTGCAAGTGACAGGTATCCAACTGGAACTGACTTGGTCAGAAGAGTAAATTTATTAGAATAAATCATTGAAGTGATGAATAACTGGTATAATTAGTGTTTTTCGGTGGCAGGCAACAGAAACTGATGGACTATGCAAAAAAATGAATTTACAGGAAAGGTGTGTATGTTTCCTTTAGTTGTCTTAACAAATGCCCATGAACTTGATGACTTAAAACAACAGAAATGTATTCTTTCACAATTCTGGAAACAAGATACCCAAAATCAAGGTGTTGGCAGAGCCATGCTCCCTTCAGAGGCTGTAGGGGAGCGTCTTTTAGTGTCATGACACATTTCCTGACTTGCCTTGGCACATCTTTCCCATCTTTGCTGTTTTCATCACATCACTGTCTCCTTTGTGTGTCCAGTCCCCCTATGCTTCTCTTACGAGGAGACATGGTGGCATTTGGAGATCACCCAGATGATCCAGGATCCTTAATCATATCTGCAAAGACCAATAAAGTATTAACACAGGTTCCAGGGGTTAGGATGCGGACATACCTTTGGGGCCACCATTCAGTCCACTACTGAAGGGCATTAGGGAAGCTCATCCAAGCAATGGAAAGTTAACTAACCAGGTCTCAGGGAGTGTAAGAATGATGAGAGCTATGGAGACCTCACAGCAGGACTCGTGAATGTGTGTAGGAAAGTGCTGTCCAAATGGTCCATCTCCGGCCACTTTTCTGTATCATTCTGCTTACAGTCCAAATCCCAGGAGAGGTTGATTTGCCTAGCTTGAGTCATATGCCTCTCCCTTGTTGGGGAAGAAGGGTTACCCAAAAGTGTATTATCATCGAAATAAAGGGGCAGGAAGTTAATAGGCAAAAATAAAAGGTCTCCACTACATTCCTAGGAGGCCAGGATGGCCAAACTTGGTCTCTCATACTTTGACATATTGTCAGGAGGGACCAGTCACTGGAGAAGGATATCATGTTTGGTCAGGTCAGAGAAAAAGAGGAAGACCCCCAGCCAGATGGATTGGCAAAGTGGAAGCATCATATGGGCTCAGCTGTGGCAACAATAGTGAGGTTGGCCCAGGATTGGGCAGTGTTTCGTTACATTGTGCATAAGGTCGTTATGAGCCGGTACCGACTCGATGGCACCTAACAACAACAACTACATTCCAACCCTTAGCTGCTCAGCACACACATACACTCACACCTTCCTATACAGTTCCATAAATGCTTCTCTCTAACCAAAGAAAACTCTGGTATATAACTTAAAACTACACTGATCCTTAGGGAAGATACCCTACGGTCATGTTCTGTTGTCAAATCTAGCTCTAAATTCATTCCTCCACTGAACCTGCCTCAGTTTCCTCCAATATAAGGAATAAATGGGACATGTCATGCCACCAGCATCCCCTATGTGGGATTCTAGAGGAAAGGTGAAGCCAACCAAGATGCAGCAAGAGGACACGTAATCAGATTACAGCTGGCATTTGTAACTTTCCTTCTTTGCTAGCATGCCACTTTCTCCCTGCCTTTGGCCAGAACCTCAGTTGACTAAGGACTCTGTGTTTGATAAGGTGACTCAAACTTTTATCCCTAGAGAATCTGAGCCCTTGGAAGTCTTGCCTGTAAAGGGAGGTGCCCCAGAGAATTCCTTGGTTGATATTTGCACTCATAGAGCCCTGGTAGTGTAGTGGGTTACATGTTGCACCTCTAACCTCAAGATCAACAGTTCAAGTCCACTAGGCATTCCATGGGATAAAGATGAGGATTTCTGTTCCTGTAAAGATTTACAATCTTTGAAACCCTATTCAGGATTTCTATGAGTCGGAATCAACTCAGGCACACACACCAGCACACCATCAGTAGTAACTATTTCTCCTTAACAGTTAGGGTTGATAATGCAGGCAAGAAGGCCATCGGGAGACATAAATAAAACCCTGAAAGAAAAAAACTGCTGACCAAGAATTCTCTGCCCAGCAAAGCTGTCAATCAAATACGATGGTGTA